AAAAAAAAAAAAAAATCGTAACTTATTAGTGATAGTCTTAATGTGTGTGGCCATCCGTAGAACATGATATTCAGATTCGATCACATTGGGACCCGCTAACAAGAAGAACGGTTGAGCTGTCTGCAGCAGGCATTGATGCAATCCGATAAATCATCCAAATTCAACATATGAATTGAAAAGTTTAGTACAATCCAACAAAATAAAGACTTTAGATTCAAATCTTGAACTGGTTAAATAGCGATGCTGTCGAATCCATCTTTCCCAGCTTCGGAGAAAAACAAACTTTTTCCAACATTCACAAGCAAAATGATAAGATGTACTGTAAATTTGTTTTATGAAGAAAAGAAATGCTCAACTGTGTTTGAAAATCAAATAATTCTGCATTGTATGATGCTAATTGTATGGAAAAATAATCAAATAGTTTTCAGGTGGAGAGAAATCTCACCGGAAAACTGTTCGGAAAAGAGTGTTGGGTGGACGGTGGAGTGGAATGGTGAACTGAATCCGTGTAGCAGGATTTGTGTTTGGTTACAGGAGCAAGGTAAGCCCCATGCTTATTGGAATATTCCTTACGTCGGCCCAGCCCAAGTCCGCCGAACCCGTACGGCCGTACCCAACTCTCATATTTTATGTGTTACCAAAACAAATCAATTCCAAATCAAACAATTGGAGGTCATATCACACTGCCAAATAAAAAATAATATCTTTTTAAAATAGGATAATATTATATTTACAATAATTTTAGGTATAATATTTTGTATGATACAATAAATATCAAATACTAATGATATATTGATTCAAATAAAAGGAGTTTGATTCTTTTAAAAAAAATCTCGAATTCAAATTTTATAAATAAAAAAATAAATATTGAAAGAATTTTTTATTTATAAAATCCAACATAATTCGTTTATGAATTAATTAAAATTTAATATGACTTATGAATACCAAAAAATTAAAAAAAAGTATCAAATAAGTAATTATATATTAATTTATATATAAATTTTTTAAATAAAAATATTAATCATAAAATAATACGTTTGAAGAAATGTACTAGTAACTAATTTCTTATGTTAAATATATGTGTATGGATTACATCAATTTTACAGATATAAAAATACAACACAACTACAAGAATAATAAATACTAACAAACAAATTTTAAATTACAACAAATAAACCAAGTAAAACTTGAATATAAAGCAACAAAATGGGGACAGAATGATCGATAACCTATGCTCCTAACTACTAAACATAAAATAATCATTGGTTATAACCAAGAATTGATTAATGTTCAAACTTAACTCTTTATGAAATAGAAAAATTTACCACTTAATGATTAACTAGGCTCCTGTATTTCCTAAGGATTCATTAATTATCTTTTTTATATTCTATCAAAAATATAATTTTTTTTTAAATATATGTAGCAATTTTTTAGGAAAAGAAGAATATATACCTGCAAAAGAGAAAAAAAAATAAAAAGCTGTCGAAAATATAATTTCGGCGGTCCATAGCTTTTTAATAGTTAGTTCATGACACATAGTGTCGACATTTCGAGGTTGACTTTGTCGAATAGACTTATATCGATTATTCTGAGCCAAGTTTCATTGACAAAGCAGTTTGCATGACAACATCATGTGCACACCTACCCCCGGTCTTAATCTCTCTTTTCCTTCTTTCCCATTGCAATTTCCATGTCACAGTTAAAACCCCAATTTCAGTTGTATTTTAAGCAACCTTTCCGCCTGTCTCAACCTCTCTTTCCCATTTTTCCAATTGCAATTTCCATGCCACAATTTTTGTTTAATCCTGATTCACAACGAAAAGAAGCATTGTTTATCCTTTACTTTTATTTTATTTATATGTCATGTAATTTAAATTTAAAATTTTTATTTTTTATTAAAAAATATTATTATTAAATTAATTAAATTATTAATATTTTCACGACACAATTAAAAACTCAATTTCAATTATATTTAAAGAGCTAAATTTTTAAGTGAATCATGCACTTTTTAATAAATCTCATATGGTTACCATTCAAATAATATTCCCATCAAAACTACACAATTCAAGAAGAATCAAATTATCATGATTCACAAGAAAGCGTCTTCAATACGTTAAATTAATATTAAGTGTACATCTGTAAACGTAAGAAAGAAAACGCTGGTTGTTAGAAGAAAAGAGAGCAAAAATTCACATTCCCTAGTTTTTCTAGCCATTTCTTTTCTAGTAGATAGTATATAACCACAAATAAAAAATTGAGATTCTCTTGTGTTTCTAGCCATTGCCATCTTAGTTATTCCTTTTCTCCCAGCTAGTATATAACTACCAGGTTATCCATATTTCTCTCTTAAGTGCAAATTTCATTTCTTTTTCCTAAACCCAGTCCCATTCAAAGTGAGTAAAGACAGGGTACGAGATACAGAGGAAAGGACACCATGAAAAAATTTCAGCTTTGTCCATCCAAATTCTTCTTCAAATTATGTATTATTCTTATTCTTGTGTTCCCGGCGGTGGTCTCCGGTGACTGTGATTGTGATCCGGAAAAGTCCGTCGATGGAAGCAAAGCGGAGAGACAGAAATACAAAGTGGGTGCCATTGCAGCTATTCTTACAGCCGGTGCAGTTGGGGTTTGCCTACCGGTCCTGGGGCGGAACATCCCTGCTCTGCGGCCGGAGAGCGATATATTCTTCATGATCAAGGCGTTTGCTGCCGGAGTTATTCTCTGCACGGGATTCATTCACATACTTCCGGATGCATTTGACGATCTGACTTCGCCCTGTCTCCAGTCAAGTGTGTGGTCGAATTTTCCGTTCACTGGTTTCATCGCCATGATGTCGGCCATAGGAACGTTGATGATCGATTCATTTGCGACGGGGTATTACCAGCGGATGCACTTCGAGAAGCATAGGATAACTACAGATCAAGAACAGGGGGCTCGTGATGAGCATGCTGGTCATGTACATGTTCATACCCATGCCACTCATGGCCATTCTCATGGATCTGCCATCCCATCTGAAGATGGGAGTGGGTCAGAGCTATTACGACACCGCGTCATATCCCAAGTAAGGTTCAGAATGATCAAGTTTTTACTGCAATCTCAGAACATTAATGTGTTTCTTACTACCTAAATCTGAACTGAAAAACAACGGAGTCTTTGTAAAAATAGGTACTTGATTTTAAATTTGTTCATATGACTTTTGGTGGTGTTGTTCAGGTTTTGGAGATTGGAATTGTGGTTCATTCAGTGATTATTGGGATATCTTTAGGTGCTTCCACCAGCCTTAAAACAATAAGGCCTTTGATTGGAGCACTGTCTTTCCATCAGTTCTTTGAGGGCATGGGACTTGGTGGCTGCATTACTCAGGTATCATCACTCTCATGATTTCATAAAAATATTTTGTTTCCTCTGCTGTTTTAGGGATTAGACAGTGAATAGCCCTTCCTTTTCTTCTCAAACCGTATCCCAAATTTTACATGTGGTATAAGCTCAATCGGCGTGTGTGTTTAACTATGACAAATATTTGAATATGAAACCTCTTTTGGGAAGGTTCCGTGTTCAAATAGTTGATGTGTGACGAACACGGTAGCGGAGGAGTAAGAGATTGGAAAATTTCATTCATTGGAACGAAGAAAGTCAAATATTTATTGCTACTGTTAACTTTATTAAGGCTTTTCAAGCCAACCATATGGGGTGGATGGAGTGGAATGGAGAATGTTGCCATTGTGACAACATCTTCGGTGTCAGGGAAGTTGCTCCAAATTAATCAACAATCATAAAAATATAGGCTTGTGATTTTCACAAATAATAAAACTATACACACAGCATTGACAGTCAGGTTGTGTTGGTGATACAGGCAAAATTCAAGACTACATCGGTGGCAATCATGGCAACATTTTTCTCCCTCACAACCCCAGTTGGAATTGCAGTTGGGATTGGAATTTCAAATGTTTACAGCGAGAGCAGCCAACCTGCTCTGATAGTCCAGGGAGTCTTCAACGCAGCTGCTGCAGGCATTTTGATTTACATGTCGCTTGTCGATCTGCTGGCAGCAGATTTCATGAATCCAAAGTTGCAGAGCAATATGAGGCTTCAATTCGGAGCAAATGTGTCTCTCCTTCTTGGAGCTGGTTGTATGGCTGTCTTGGCCAAATGGGCATGAAACTCGCCTCAAATTCCGCATTGAAGCGATCCCATTTGCATACTTCTTTTTATTAAGATGTTCAATTCCATTCTCATGCAAAATAACACGAAAGCAGAACTTTGTTAATGCATGCATTATTACTGTAAATGTGATATTCAAGTAGAATATTTTTCATAATATAGGGAAATGTTTGGCTTTGTCCTATACATACAAAGGCGATAAATACAAGATTTAAAAAGGAAAATAAATCATTTGACCTGGTATATATAATCAAGGTATTGTTCTGTATTAATGTCTGCAGAGGAGATCCAAGCAAGCAAAACAAAGGTACAGCCGAGATTGAAGAGGAGTGAAGGTACTCCTCATTTAAGGACATCTCAATTCCATAGAATAATTTACTAGTTCATACTGGATTAGAAGCATTTCTTCTGGATTAGAAGCTTTAGCGAACAAATGGTGTTTGTAAATTCTGACTGCACGTATGATATTTTCTTTTCTACCACGTAATGGAAATTGCAAGACTAGATAAAATGTAACTGAAGAGAAATAAAATGAACGAATTGACTGATCAAACGAACATGTCAAATCCCAATTGAAAAGGGTATCCCCTCGTTTTTCAATCAAGAGAGTCACTTCGTCCAATTGCCTCAACAAGGTGTTACCAAGATCGGCTTACCTCACAACATCTTCCTCTTGCATTTCCAGCCAAAACCCCATAGCAAGGTATATTTTGCGTTACTTCATCTGAAACTTGAGTTTCCAACTCAATATATTGGGATGGGGGCTAATTGCCTCACTTTGATATCAAGCGTCCCAATAAAAGTTGGTAACAAAGTAATTTGGTATCACTGAAAACATTTGAAAAAAAAAAGAAAAAATGAAAAAAGAAAAGAAAAAAGAGTGTAAACTTAAAAGGTGAAGAAACCTTAAATTAAAAAAAAAAAACTGGAAACTTAAAAACAAAAAAAAAAAATTACAGAAATTGTGGTTTCTTGGTTATGTTGCTAATCTTTTACATTCTTTACCATTTAGGTTTTGAAAAGATAATATAATAATAGAAAGCTTAATTGAATAACGTTCCATGAAAAAAACGTCCCCAAAAAGGACAGAAAACGGTAAGACTAAAAGAATATCAAAAGGTGTGTATCTATATTTAATTCAGATCTCATTGTTACATGTTTTGATAATCGTTTTAGTTAGTTTCATCATATAACCATATCTTGCATCAATCGAAATCATTTTAAAAAAAATAAAAAATAAAACAAAAACAAAATACAAGTATAAAATATTTTCAAATCAATAAAAATATATGATAAGAAAACCAAATACAATTCATACAAGCAAAATACCATAGCCAGAAAACATAAAAGAGGATAATCATATACTGCATTTTGTGCAAACTTGTAGCCGGCAAACATCCTTTCTAGTTTTGAAAGTTGTGACAAGAGCTGCTAGTTAAAGTTCCCAAAATTCAAGCAAAAATAGTTTTCCACTCAATGTATTCTTTTGAAAAGAAAAACAGAAGAAAAAAAAAAACTGTTTGAAACAAAACTAAAAACAAAAGCAGGAAACACTGAAACAGAAAAACTCAAAAAACCAAAGTGATACCAAATAGATCTCAAGTTTCAAATGAGTAGGAAAATATACCTGCCATGAAGTTAAGGTAGATTTGTGGAAGAAAACATTGCAATCTCTGCTAATCCAGACAACCAGAACCTCATTATTGCGGCAATGTAACGAGCAATCAATCCCAAGATCACTAGCAAGGAAATGACTCCCTTAACCAAGACTAACAAATTGCTTAACCAGTAGATAGGTCCATAGCATTTCTTCAACCAAACTTCATGAAGCCTACTCTTCCCAAATATGTGATAGCATAGAAGAGCATATGCACTTCCAGTTCTATAAACAACATTCCCACAATAAGGTTTCAAATCTAATTGTAGACAACAGTAGATTATCAAAAGAAGATTGCCTTGTATCGTTATATCATCTCTTGACCTTAGATTGTTAAATCTTGTCTGTCATTTTGGAAAGTGGTTGTTAAATCATACTTAAGCCACGTGTTGGCATTAATAACCATGCATGTAAAGACTTGACTATTTCTGTGGTGAGTGTGTGTTTGTGAAGTGATGAGTTATTGTAAACTAAAAATAAACAAATTACAATCTACAAGTCAGAATTATAAAATTATAATGATAGAATATATAAAGCTATGAATGACATTTTGGGACCAAAAGTCCATTTGGCTCCAGTTAGCTCCTCTCCTGATAAGCAAAGAAACCAAATCAATGAAATTCATTAGTAAGCAATCAAATAGAAAGAACAGAAACAAATATATCACATTGACTAATTGAAGATTCTATAAGAAAATGGCTAATAGATCTAGGTCTTTATTCTTGACCCCAAAACAGAAAAGAAAAGGGAAAACGAAATTGGTAGAGAACTGAATACCTAAAACCTAATATTTGCCCCAACACCCATTATTGAAATCAAAGAGACAAAGAGAAAAAGATATGATTTTTGGCAAAGCAACAAATTATTAATAGCCAATCACAGTTTCAATCGACAAATGCCCCAAAGAAATTGAAGGAAAATTCGAAAACCAATCACCACGTATTTCTTCACAAAAAGATGAATGAACCTACCATGAATGAGGGCGCAAGAGATATCGGGGGTGGAGGGTGGGAAAAGAGAGACTGCGGGAAAGGGTGCTACTGTCACCGTCGCCGTCGGAGGTTGCATAGACGGAAAAATTTTCCGACCATTGTGCTGCGTTTGGCTTCTGATCGATAAAAGCAAAAACGGCTTTCGAGACGAAGAAAATAACGGCTACAAAGTATCAGGCCTAGTAGAAGTGGGCTTCTTACTATTGGGTGTGGGTCGTGTGGTTGCTCGTACAATTTCAGACAAGAAGTATGGAGCTGGGCTGATGGGTTCTCTAACCAAATTTTTTATGTTTTATTTTTTTATTTATAAAGAAATTAAAATTTTTTAATATTTATCAATTGTATTTATAAAAAATTAAGTGAAAAAATATTTTAAAATTATATTATTTTAATAAATTCTTATTGAAAAAGGAGTTTTGGGGTTGATTAATATTAATCTTATTAATTTTTTATTTTGAATTTTTTAATTTTAAATTATAAAATAAAAGCATTCATTTTTCATCTTTTTATCCACATTACTTGCATATCATACTATTCAAATCAAATAAAAGGCTCCTTACTTCTAAAGAAAGAAATTCACCACTAAATCATTCAAGTTATTGGCAAGAAATTAACCTTTTGTTTTGCTATGATAACAATCACTTGAAATCTCAAAACCATAAATCAAGTTAATTTTAAGTTGGTTTCATTAGTTAACTTTTTTATTCAATTCTTCTTCTTTTTTTAATAAAAATTTTCTAATTCATCCTTTAAATTTTTGTTTAGTACATGTACATGAAAACACAATACAACTACAAGAATAACAAATAACAAACGAACTTTAAATTACAACAAATAAAACCAAGAAAAACTTGAAAGTTACCTAGCATAAACTATTCATGGGCAATGGCAATACCAAACAAGAATAGTTCATACAGTTTTCGTGTGGTTCATATATGCATGGTACATTGTATTGACATTCCGAGGTTAACTTCATTACACATACTCATTTCGATAAAATATCTAAGTCAAATTTCATTGACCAACAGCTTTTGCATGACAACATCTTGTTCACACCTTTCGCCTGTCCCTCTCTCAAGATCTCTTTCTTTCCCTTCCCAATTACTTACAATTGTAATTAAAGTATACTAATTTTTCAGTGAATCACATGCTTTTTAATAAACTTCATAGGTTAATTATTTAAATAATTTAATAATAATTTATTTTTAATAAAAATTAAAAAATTAAAATTAAAATCACGTAATATATAAAGAAAATAAAAAAATAAAATATAGTTTCGTACAATCACCATTCCGATAATGTTCTGGTAAGATAGCATTATGCACATAAAAACTACGCTATTCTTATTATTATAATGATTGACGAAGAAGGGTAGGTGGTCAATGGCCTTATCTTAAGCGTGCGTCTTTAAAAATAACTGGGGTTGAAGCTAACTGTTGTTCTTGTACTTTAAAATTTTGTTCGTTCTCATCCCTCCACTAAGGATTTGTTCATTGTCATCCCTCTACTCCTCTGAAGAGCCAAACGTCGTCCCTCTACTCCTCTTTTTTTTTTTTGTTCATTGTTGTCCTTTTCCCAACGTAGTTCATGTTGCTGCCATTATTGACCATTAATTCCCAAATGGTCAACAATTAAACTATTTATCGCACTTTTTTTTCCACGTGTGCTGCCACTTATGATGAAAATGAGGACCATTCAATATGATATTGCATAGGATGTCCATCTGTCATTGACCTGAGTCATTTCTATGTCCATTTGTCATGGACCTGACTCATTTCAATCGTATGATGATTAATTGGCTTTATGGTGCTAAGTGGGCTTTTCATCCCACTCTCCACCAAAAGAGAAAAGAATTAAAAAGTTTGTTTGTATCATTTTTCTTATGAATGAATTGAGGCTCTAAGCAGTCAATATAACATGTGGAGATTAAAGAATGGGAGGCCAACCGGTTTTGAATTATCTTAAGAAACTAACAGGACGTAGGAAATGGGAATTTTCTTGAGTTGAGAATTGGGTTGAGACACAGATTTTGTTTCTACATACTGTCTTAGGAAAAAGGGGGTCGGATTCAATTGGTTGGGTTTGGGTTGAGACACAGATTTTGTTTCTACCTACTGTCTTAGGAAAAAGGGGGTCGGATTCAATTGGTTGGGTTTGGGTTGAGACACAGATTTTGTTTCTACATACTGTCTTAGGAAAAAGGGAGTCGGATTCAATTGGTTGGGTTTGGTGCCTACTTCAATAAGATATTTTAGCGCCTACTTTCTTTTTTTTTTTGAACGTATTTTGCAAGGGCAGGTTTTGAACCCTGTCAAGGGAGAGGGAATGCACCGTGATTATGCCACTGGGCCTCAAGGGCTAGTGCGCCTACTTTAATAACATAGTTTAGCAAGTTTGTGAGAAATTGAGAATGAAGTATTTACTTTACTAGAAAATAAAAGGATTTATGTACCAAAGAATAAAAGAAAATAAAAGGATTTATGTACCAAAAAATAAAAGAATTTATTTTATCTTATATTTTATTAACATTTCATTGTCCTTTTAGAATCAATATTCTACCCAATATTTTGTCCTTTTAGAATCAATATTCGACCCAATATTTTTTCTTTAAAATAAAAATTCACCCAAAAATAGTGGTTTCTTTTCTTCATAAAACGCCATTGATCTACATATATTATTTGTATGTTATATGAATGATGACATTATAAATTTAAAATTATTATATGTTATATAATTAATTTTTTTATTCAAAATTTAATTTCATATTGTATGCACATGTGGCAAACATATGAAAAAAAAAGTGTAATTAATAATTTAACTACTGACCGTTGGGAATTAACGGTCAATAAGGATGGCAACATGAACAACGTTAGAAAAAGGATGACAATGAACAAAAAAAGAGAGGAGTAGAGGGACGGGGTTTGGCTCTTTGGTGGAGTAGAGGGATGATAATGAAGAAATCTTTAGTAGAGGAATGAGAACGAACACAATTCAAAGTATAGGGACAACAATTGTCTTTAACCCAAAAAATTGAGAATATCCTGACCGTTAAAAAAAAAATTCAGATTCTCTCCTTTTTCTAGCCATTCCCATCTTATTTCTTTCTACTAAATGGTCCAGACTTTTTTTGTAAGTAATGTCCACCAAATCCACTGAACAGAAAATATCTTCCCTTAAAGACAGAGTAAGTAAGAGATACATAGGAAAGGATACCATGACAAAATTTCGGCCTTTTCCATCCAAATTCATCTTCAAATTATGTTTTATTCTTGTTCTTGTATGCCCGACGGTGGTCTCTGGTGACGGTGACTGCGGGTGCCAACTGGACGAGTCCACCGATGGAAGCAGAGCGCAGACACAGAGATACAAAGTGGGTGCCATAGTAGCTATTCTTGCTGCCGGTGCAATAGGGGTGTGCCTACCTTTGCTGGGGCGGAGCATCCCGGCTCTGCGGCCTGAGAACGATATATTCTTCATTATCAAGGCGTTTGCGGCTGGAGTTATCCTCTGTACGGGATTCATTCACATACTTCCTGATGCGTTTGAGAATTTGACTTCGCCCTGCCTCAAGTCAAGCGTGTGGTCGGATTTTCCGTTCACTGGTTT